GTGAGAGGCCCGCGTACCGCAAAAAAAAAAAAAAAGAAAGAATGTAGTCATCAAAGACCACTGATGACAGATCTCTATCTGGATGCTTAACCCTGGAACTTCTCTTTCAGAGGAGGGCGTGGTGAGAGGCAAATGCTGGAGGGTAGCTGAAAGCCAGGTGTTGGGTGAGGAGACCTGGATTCTGGACCAGTCCTGCACAGCTACAGACAGAGCCCATGCCCAGGACTTTATAGATTCCATAAGGAGTCTAACTGAGGTCTGGATAGACAGAGGAAATGGACCTAATAATAATATTCAGGAAATTATCTGAATAATTCAAGTGGAACAAGCACACTTGAAGAAAACATTAGGGAATTGAAAGAGAATTATCCTCTCAATATATAATTGCCTCAGTTTTCATTTCCTGATTAGGAGAAAACATGCCTCAGAGGGTGAGCTGTTTTCTCATCTCGAACATTCTTCCTCCCTTCTTTTCTCACTCATCTCTCAAATCTGTCCCCTTCTCCTTGCTTCCCCAGGGGTTTCAAGTCCCAGGAGACTAGGATTTCAGGATGCAGATCTCTATACAGAGGATGAGTATATGGCTTAACCACCCCTCAGGAGAAAACTGAGTTCTCAAAGCTCAAGTGATCAGACCAGTTGGTGAACATCGAAGAATGTCTGGCATGTTTCACTGTCCTTGGCATCGATTCCCAGTGTCCCAACTCAGGCCAAATCCAAACAACTACAATGTCCCTGTCAAACCAGGGCCTGGTTCCTGCTTTACCTGAATCAAAATCCTAGGGACTAGAGAGGATCATCGGTTCATCTTCCCGCCCCAGGCACCTCAGGACTCCTTGACAGTTGAGGGAAATGCTTTTGTTTTTCATCTCCAGTATTCCAACTATCTGTTCTCTTTTCCCTAGGAGATGGGGTGCAGTGGGGAGGCAAGTGAAATGGTCTATGAAGAGAGTTGTGAGATTTGGCTAATTTTCCAAAGAGGTGGTAAGAAGCCTTGTGAAGTGAGCTGCAGTGTCCCATTGAAAGGACTGGAAAGGAGAAGGGCCCTTTTGTTCAGAATTCTTTTGCATTTGAGAATTGTGCTTATTGTGTGGACCAGCCAACTCTGTTCTTCATTCCTTTGTGTATTTTGTGTTACATGACACTCAAGTGAACACAGGCCAGACAGATTATGGGTTTTGGAGTTTTGTTGTTGTTGTTTTCTGCTTGTTTTTAATTTTTTAAATTGAACTATAGTTGATTTACAATGTTGTATTAGTTTCAGGTGTACAGCGAAGTGATTCAGTTATATATATATACATATATATTATTTTATATATACAAATATATATATGTTCTTTTTCAGATTCTTTTCCCTTATAGATCGTTACAAAATATTGAGTATAGGTCCTTGTTGGCTACCTATTTTATATATAGTGGTGTGTATATGTTAATCTCAAACTCCTAATTTATCCCCCCACCCTTTCCCTTTGGTAACCATAGCTCAGATGGTTAGTGAGAATGACATAGCACACAGTGGGGCAGGGCCTACTTGTAACTTGATCAGGGACACATGATGACTAGCTGCCCAACCTCTGAGAGCATGGTCATGTCCATTCACTGGCATAACAACTGGTATAGCAGAGACATGTAGTGGGAAGGTTTGGAACAAGAAAAAGTGGGTTCAGATGGTATCCTATTATTCAAGTGCCAGTTGCTGGGGTCTCAAAGATAAATAACACAAAATCCTAACCCGATGACCATATTTCTAGCTCTACCACCTGTTGATGTTAATAGCCTATTGATGGATGTATCAGACGCACCTTATGAGCCAAATCGCACCGGCTAGACCTTGCCTTTCTCCTGTCTCCGCAGCTCCCTGCACAGCCAACCAAATCTGTGTAGTTCAGCCACCTAGGACTGATAGTCACTTGCCCAGTCAGGTCCCTCTAGGCTGCTGTTGCACAGCCAAGCTGGCTGACCACATGTCCGGAGCCTGTGACTCTTCCACTACTCCTGGATCAGAAGAAATGCCACACTGCAGGATGTGGCTTCTAAGCAGCCATCAAAGGGGAATCCGAGGGAATTAATTCCCTGTAGGGAACATTCTGACCAATGAGAAACAAGAGATGAGAGGGAGCTGGGCAAATAAACTCTCTTTCCTTCCTGCCTCCTGTGGACTGTTCCCAGTCATGATTTTCTAACACAACCTGTCTGGAGATGTCCTGCATGGCTGAGCAGACATACCTACTGAGTAACCTGCCAGGGCCCTTTGCGGTGGGTGGTGAAGCAATTACCTGCGTGATAACACACCGTCTTGCACTCCTTCTCATCCTAGCCCACCTCATTCCTCTTTTCACTCACTCTTACTGCCTTCTCAGATTTAGTCTTTGTTTCAGATACGTTTTGTAGAGAAACAGAGCTAAGACAGTTGGTTCCACAAGTGGTTCAAAAAGCAAGTCCTCAGGATGGATTTTGGGGTTGTATCTCCTAGGTGTCTGAAATCAATAGAGTCCTTTGCTGGTGATAAGAGAGATGGCAATAGCTTTGATATGCGATCGCACCCAAGCTTTCACTTGGTTAATTGGGGTGAACTAGGTGGAGAGCGAGACACTGGGAGAGCAAGTGGCTGTGGTAGTCAGTTTGGAAACAGTGCTAATGACAGGTACCAGAGACATTGGAAACAGAAAATGACAGGCTCAGAGCAGTTAACTACCAACTCATGGAATGCTCTGAAAGCCAGAGAGCCACTATGGCTTTAAGGGAAAGTCTCATTTCCTGAAACTGTGGGAGAGACTTATAAAATCAAGCCCAAGATCTGATCACAGGGTAGCAGAACTGCAAAAAAGAGGACTAAATGCATGGCCTTGATAGGCATCCATGTCAAAGCAGAGCCCTGATAAGGAAAGACTGGAGCCCTGAGACCTGGGATGGGCATATCTCGGTGGATGAGCATCTTGACCCTTCAGATCCCCTGAATGTTCCTGCCCAAACCAGGTCCCCTTCTCCATGGCTGCTGCTTCTTCTCAAGACATGGCCCCACCACTACTGCCTCTGCCAAAACCTAGAGTCAAGTTGCAGCACAGCCCACACTGGCAGGAAAAAGTCCTCTTCCAGGGAGAAAAAGCATACCTGCCAAAGATCTTGCGGGACTTGGCTAACATGTACTGGCAGGAACTGTAGAAATATGTGTGGGAGTGGATCTGGAAGATGTTATATTTGGGGGTGAAACAGGAAGCTCAATTGGGAGGATCCACTAATTTGGGGATACTCACACAGAACTCGAGTTTTAATGTTTTCGCAAGGATGCTCGGAGTTTGTCCCGATAGTTTGCTGGGATGGCTCTTTGGAGGCTGGTTTCATCGATGGCCTATAGTAAGCAAAGTGGAGAAGCCAGACTTCCTTGTGTAGTGTCGAGGAAGAGGTCACAACGTTCACTCAGGAAGGAAGGAATATTAGAAGCATTTATTATACGTGGCTCAAGAACCCACCACCTGACTAGTTCCCTGGGCCAGCCCAGAGGACGCTCCCTTCACTAAAGCAATAAAGAGTGTACTAGCAAGGAGGTTTTTTGAGCACCTGATAGTGGCTAT